CTCCATTTTGCCTTTAGAAGCTTAAATTTAAGAATTTGGGGGGCTGGGGATTTAGCTCAGCTGCATAAGCACCTGCCTTGCAAGCAGGTGGTCGTGAGTTCGATCCCCGGTACCGAAAAAAATGGAAAAAAAAAAAAAAAAAGAATTTTATCATGGCTCATTTGAAATTACTTTTAGGTTTCTTCCCAAGAAGTAAGCAAAAGATGTTTATGAAAATATTATTCACTAGTTTTTATTTTATACTCTTTAAAGCAAAAGTAATGAATGTTGTTTGCATAAGATTAAACACATCTCTAAAAGTACACATTCTTATTTACACTTTCCACAAAAATAGGTAACCACTATCATAGTTTCTTACTTGACCTATCCAAGCTTTTCCTGCATTTCCAGTATAGAGAGCTCATTCTTTTGATGAGTATTTATAGTATGATTTTATCATAATTTATTCCCTCCTGTACTAAAGAATATGGAGGGTTTTTCTAAGATTTCTTACATAGAACTCTTCAGCATATGTTAATATTCACATAGTTTGGTGTATTACGTACTGTGAAACACTACTGATTTAGAAGGCCTATGTAACGTGGATGAGGGAAAGCAGGCTCTCAAATTATTTATTTGATATCACTGAAGCCTACTAAAAATAATGATAACATTCAGTCATATATTAATTTTTTTCTAGTTATTTAATGTTTTTCCAGACAAGTGAACTGTAGACTTCCTTATAAGAAAAGTAGATTTTTTTCTGTCTTACAAATTGAGATTGTAAATAGAGCATTCTAAATTGTTACAGTACCTGGTTAGTTGCAGGCACCCTGAAGTTAGAGACTACAGGGAAAGCGCCACTGTGAACAAGTTGGGTTTGTTGCCCTGTAAGCAGTGCAGCACCTTGGGGTACCTGAGAGGATAGGTTCAGGCCTGGATGAGGGATTCCTGGGGTGTACAAGGAAGCACAGGTTGTTCTGAATTGGATGTTGTGAGGGCCAGTTCTGTGACTGGTTATTTTAGTAAATCTTGTGTAGATTGAGGCAGACTAGGAGGAGATTCAAACTGTTGGTAAAGCAGTAGCAGGTACTTCTGTTAGCCAGGATGGGTAGTAGTATTTGCCCATTCTTATGGTTTGGAAAATGTTTGTGCTTTGTCTCTATTCAGATATGGTGTCAGGGGGGTCTTGTTTTTTCTTGACTCCTCATGACCACATTCTGCCAAATCATGTATGTTTAGCAGCAGAACACTAAGGCTGGGTGCAAGAGCCAGTCAGCTCATGGTGTGTAGGACCTCCTGGCAGGAAGAGGCTCTGCAGCTCCAGGGTCTGAGTGGCTGCTTCTCTCTTAGAGTGAAGAAAGCACTTACAGTGATCTCAGAGGCTTTGAATGCAGATTAGTCAATGCATGACCTAATTGCAATTTGAATTTTACCTGCTTCCTTGCTGGGTAGCAGGAATCAGAAACTGATTGGAAGACAGATTTACAAACAAGAAAGAAGGAAAAAAAGCCCAAGCGTAGCCAAACCCCTAAATGTACAATTAACAGTTTAATTAAAATTTAACTTTTCATCTTTAGTTAATTGTGTCTTTAAATAACTCTTTGTTGCAGTAGAAACCATCGAAGGCTTTCAGTGTTCACCCTACCCTGAAGTTGATCGTTTTGTTCTTTCTTTGGTGACTAAAAATGAGATTAAAGGAGGTAAATCTAATCTTATTTGTTATTAACTCTTACACGGTAGAGGAATAATACCATTAGAAACAATTTTTGCGTTTTAGGAATTCGGCGTTGGAACTACTTTTTCCCAGAAGAATTGCTGGTTTATGATATTTGTAAATATCGCTGGTGTCAAAACATTGGGAGAGCTCACAAGAGTAATAATATCATGTAAGTAAATATTGTTTATTGTAGAGTTGTTCATACTTAACTGATACTACATTTTAAATGCTTACAACTTACTTAGTCAAATTTTTAAGAATTTTATTAAAAATCAATTTTATTATTGGTAGTTATTAGTTTTTTCTGTTAGTTTATTTCTGCTTTTTCTGTTTTAGCAAGTTAGTTAGTTAGTAACAGGAAGTTACTCCATTAGTCTGCTTAATTGCAAATGTTAGCAAATGTTACTAGCAAATGTTGAGGAATATTAAGGTTTTATTATATGCTATATGTAGTTTCTAATATTTGTATCTGCCTTTTTTGTTCAGTCTTACAATAATTTGTCTTCGAATTTTGTCTTTAATTTTTTAAAGTTTTTGCTGCTTGTTACTCTCTATTTTATTATGATTTACTCTGTTGCTCATTTTCAAAATTAAGTTATGTTCTATTGTCCATTTTCAAAGTTGGTTACTTAATTCATTCATCTTTAGCCCATTCTTTTGTAACATAAACTCTCAAGATCATTTGGCTGCATTTCACACAATTTAGTAGGTATTTAGTTATATTCAAGTAATTCGATTTCCATAAATCTTGAGCCACTATGTAGAATTTTTTAAATTTCCAAAATTACAGGTTTCTATTAGCTTTTTACTTGTGAAGTTTTCCTTGTGGTCAGGTAATATGTTCCTATTGATACTTTTAAATTTGATACAGTTCACTTTATGTGGCCGGTTTTTATTGGTTTATATGTAGTTACAAATAGTCACTTCTTATATGCATAGTTCAAATTTCATTAATTGCTTTTATATAGTTTCATTCATATTTTCTGCATTCTTGAGCTTTTGTGGTTATTCGATTTATAAATTACCAATAAAATATTTTTTTAAATCTTGATTTACACCAGATTTTTAAAGGTTGGTTAATTTATCCTTAAAGCTCTTGATTTTGCGTACACAACTTGACAGTGTATTGGAACAAGCTGAGAACTGCATCTTTCTGGTGTGTGTGTATGTGGCAGGTGTGAGACTTTTGCTGATGTCTGCTTTTTTGCCCAGAAGTCCATTTTGTTTGCTGTTCCCAACAGTAGTTTTCTTTTGACTAGTGTGTATCTATTTTTGTCCTTTTACTTTTATTTTCTCTATCCTTAGTGCTTGTAAACAGCATATAACTGAATTTTGCTTTCCAGTCTGTATGGATAACATTTTTTTTTTTAACATGAAGGATTCTTGTTGATCTGAAAAATGAAGTTTGGTATCAAAAATGTCATGATCCTGTTTGTAAAGCCGAAAACTTCAAGTCTAACTGTGAGTTATCAATTTTTACACTTAGCACAAACTAAAATTAGACACCTATTATAATATAGTTTTATATCTTCTCATTTAGGTTTCCCATTACCTGCTGAAGTAAGTCTTCTGAATCTCTTCAAAGAGGTCAGTGCAGCTTTTCATCCTTCTCATTACTAGTTGTTCTTGGCACAGCAGTATACAAGCTATGAAGTATTTACAAAGTAAACCAAAGTGCCAAACTTTGTGTTTCTTTAAACAACTGTATCTCTAAGATGAACTTCTAGAATTGTGGCAACATCTTAATTTTGATAGATATTACCATATTACCTAACATTTAATTCTTAAGAAACTTTGATTTATCTAAACTAAGCACTCAAAAATTAAAAATACATATAAAGCAAAAAGGGGGGAAAAAATCTACCCCACTCATAATTCAGTGAAACTGAGTTTTAGAAAAGATCTCCCAGAATTTTTATGTATGTATGTTCAATTACATTTTTAGAAGTCATACTTCTAAAAATTTTTTTCCCTAAGTAGTATCACAAATATTCTCAGTAGTTAGTTACCAAATTCCTCTCCATAAAAATGATAGGAAATTAGACTTCCACAGATAGTTGAGAGTACTCTTACTGTACACTTTGGCCACCACTGCTGTTTACTTTGTGACCTTTGCCAAACTGGTATGTAGGTAGTTGTTCTTATTTGCATTTATTAATAAAGTTGAACTGTTTTTTAGGTAGTGTATATTTCAATTACGAATTGCCTATATCTGCCCTTTGTCTATTTCTGTATGACGTCTGAGTAGAACTTTGCAAGAATATTCTTTGATTGGTTTTAGTCTGTTTTCTTTTTTTTGATTTCAATATGTGTGAAGGTATGGACAGCTATTTTGAAGAGAACAAGAGACGTTATGGTAGCCATTGTTGATTTTCGTATTGTCTGGTTTTGCTTTCATTCTTGTTTTAATCAATTTTATACTGTTTTGTTTGAATTCATTGTGTGTGAAGATATGGACAACTATTTCGGGAGAGCAGGAGATGCTGTGGTAATCACTGTTGACTTCCTGCTGTCTTGTATTGAAATCCTGGGTTGCTTGCTTGTTTTGTTCTGATCTGCTTTGTTCTGTTTTGTTTTATTCTCTTTAAAATTAAAAAAAAAAGGAATACTTTGAGTCTGTGTCATCCTCAACTGTTTTTAAGACTTAATTTTTGTCACATCCATCAGAACCTTCTTTTATAGTATTACAAGTTATCAGCTACAAACTGAGTAGGTGCTTGTGTGTATAGTCTAGAAAACTCAACCTACATCTATCTATTCAATCCAAATTTAAAAATACCTCTGGAAAAAAATACATCCAACTTTAAAATGGTGGAAATTTCTTTATCTCTTTCTTATCTCCGTGAGCAGAACATAAAGTAAATGATACATTCTCTGAAAGCTACTAGGTTAAAAATTGGTTAAGTTACTAGGTTAAAAAGTGTTTAGAAGTAACTAAGAACAAAGTAAGGTTTTAAAAGTTACTTTAGCCCCTTAAAAGGAAAAATATGTCATCCTTGGTTAGTGTTATTTTGATGATTCTGGTTTTAATGGATTTGTTTGGGTTTTTTGTTTGTTTGTTTGTTTTTTGTTTTGCTGTGTCATTCAGGCTGGCCTTGAACTCACTAAGTAGCCAGGCTAGCCTCAAACTCAGCAATTCTCCTGCTTCAGCCTCCCAAATTCTGGGATTACAGACATGTCTACTTCCTGCTCAGATGTTAGTGTATTTCTAAAAGTTATCTAGTGTTACCTCAAAAGTGCTAACTTGAAAGTAAACTTTGTGTATTCTATTTAAAATTATAAAAGAACCATAAACAGTGAATGAATGTACATATCATTTATTTTTAAGAACATTCACAATTATGTATTGCTTTTTGTATTGCACTGATCATCTTGATTAAAAACTTGATTTGAAAAGATACAAAAATATTACATGCGAATAAGGAATCTTGGTTTGTCCTTTACCTAGATCTGGCATGTGCTAACATCTGGCCACATCTGTTTGCTTCCTCTAATGGTGCACATATACAGTTATATTTTTAGCTAATTTTTTGGAAGTACGTTGTAACTTACATAAATTTTTATCTCTTAATAATTAAGCATGTAGTTGAAGAATACAGACATTCTTACATAGTAATGGTAAAATTATTAAATTTAAATTGTTAAAGTCAGGAATTGTATAGTTTACAATCCACAGTCATATTTTGAAAGTTGTACCAAAACAGTTCTTTTTTTTTTTTTTTTTTTTGTCTTTTTCCTTTTTATCGGTACCGGGGATCGAACTTATGACTGCCTGCTTGCAAGGCAGGCGCTTATGCCGCTGAGCTAAATCTCCAGCCCCCCAAAACAGTTCTTTGTAACAGTATTTCTAATCCATGTTTGTAATTTTACAAATACCTTACACATTAGAGGGAAAGTTTGGTTTGCAGGATAGCAAATGTATTTTCCAGTATCTTTAGTTAGACTACTTGTCAAAAGTGAAATTTATTTTGCTCTAGCCCCATCTGAGGATACTGCCAGCATCTGCCAAAGAACCACAGGCAATTTAAAACTTGGAGTTTCAAGAGTAAGCTACAAAAGCAGCAGCCTTGGAGCCAGAGTACCGTCCCCATGGCGACAGTCTTGCAGCCTGTATTTATGCAGCACATTCATTTTACTCTGTTGAAGAACTGGCCATTATGTGTACCTTTTCTTCAGGATACTCGGAGTGTACAATGAGATCCCTCAGTTTCTGATTAAATAACCTTTTTCTTTTATCTCACTCCCTCTATCACCCTTCCCCAATGAAATAAAGGAAGAAGAGTTTACAGCAGATGAAACTTGGAACAATGAAGCCAAAAATCCAGGTGCCTCTGCTGATGCTGCCTGGGATAACAGCACCGATGATGCATACTTCTTGGAAGCTACTGACGATGCGGAATTAGCTGAAGCTGCAGAGAACAGTCTTCTCAGTTACAGCAGTGCAGGGAATGAAATTCCTGATGAACTCATTATAGAAGGATTACAAGAGTAGCTCACTATGGACAACACTTTCAGAACCAGACTATAACTTGCCTCAAATCTATGAGATTTGATAACAAATTAAATTTGGGCTGGGGGTATAGCTCAGTGGTAGAGCGCCTACCAACTATGCACAAAGCCTGGTTCAGTCCCCAGTACCGTCACAAAAAAAATATTAACTTATTATTAAACCAGTCTATATGAACTAAATTTTATCACTGTTTTCCAGTTTTGTTTTTTCATTTAAGTAAATCAGTTTTATTAAAAGCTAGCATTGGTGTACTTAAATTCAGTAGAAACATCCTAATTAATTATAGGTTTACAAGTTTTAAGCTATGAGCTTAAAACTTTTTGTCTGAAGCTGATTAAGATGTGAACATGTTAGAATTTATTAAGACACTATTCAGAAGAGATGATTACCTCTAAAACTATTAAGGCCATCAGATTGGTACAATTTAATTTAAATGACAAAGTCATACAAAATCTAGTGACTGGGCCATACTTTTTTGGAAAATATTTTTTACTTTACAAAAGTACAGCTTCAGAAGGTAATAGGCAGTAGCCTGAGACATCTTCATGTGGGCACGTTTCAGTAGACAGGTTTTCTCATTCCTGGTCAAGCAGCTTCTCTAATTGATGGTTGATATTTTGCAAGTGGTGGTCAGCTCCCAAAAGGGTTCTTGCTTTAAATAACAGAGCCGGAAGGCTGGATGAATCATACTGTTGATGAAAGAAAATCACTTAAATTTTGCAAATAGCAAAACTTTTATCACCTTCTCATCGCATACCTCAAGCTTATGACCAATGCCAATTTTGATAGCACTTTCTGTTGATACTCTTCAGTTTTAAGCTAGGGTCATTAACACTAGTTTAATTTCCTTAGGACATAATCAATAATATAAAGCTTGTATGGACTTCCTTACTGCAGAATGCCAGCTGGTTCAGAGGACAGTGGCATCTGAATTATTTAAAGTAGGGGATCATGCTCGGGACATGTTGAGACTTGGTTTGGGCAGGTTTGCTAAGTGCTGTGTGGGGTCTGCTTGATCTCGTCTATTTTAAAACACAAAAAACTGCACATCATGTTTACTTTTACTCCAAGAACAGGTGGAATGAGAACATTAGCCTATGAAAGTTCTTCATAAATCATCAAAATCCATCATCTAGAAAAACTATTGGGGAAATCAGTGTTGCCAGTCCAAATGTTCTTAATGATTAAAACAACAAACCCAATATAGATGAGGACACAGATCTAACTCATGATTTTGAAATAATTAACAAAACCAAACTTGTCTGTCCCAAACTGTATTTGAGGGTGATTAAATTCCCCCTTTTTTATACTTGGTAGTCTGCTGTTGAATACTATTGTTTTCAATGTGATTTTCTAAGTAATGAAAATTGAGCAGACTGTGACTACCCCTACATGATAACAGAATTTGTTTCTGGCATACGACTTACCATGTTTTGAGAAATCAATCAGCAAATATTTGAGACCCTAATATATTCAAGAAACCATGGACACCTCTAAGGAAAGGATGGAAGGGAAGAATTCCACTTGGTGCTAAGTGTATCATGTAGGAAAGAGGTAGGATATACCCAAATATCTATATTTTATAAGGCAATTATGATTTTATATATATAATATATGCAAAATCTACCAAGTCATGTTCATTTTGGAAACTACTGAATTAAATGATAAACTTGGTTACATTTTACAGCTCACAGACATTGCTATGTAAAGGAATTGCTATGGAAGGCACTGAATACAAAGAATGACATGTGAGAGTGGTATCTTCTGCACGTAATAGTCTCTAAATCTTGGTTTCAAGGCTGGGAATGTAGCTCAGTGGTACAGTACTTGCCTAGAATGCAGGATGCCCAGGGCTCAATTCTCAATACCAACAAAAAAAGTATTGGTTGTAACCAAATTGAATCAAGCTACTTATTAATTTCAACACAGTTAGTTGCTGTATTTTCTGTTCTAAATAATAAACTTTAGTCAGGTACATTAAAAACCTTTAAAAGTACTTTACTTCCAGATGTCTAATATATGAACAAATCTTCAGCTCAAGAAAATCCACTTACATAAGTATCCCAATGTATAATTGAATTTAGAAGTGAAGATTACAGGTTTTAAATAAGATATATGTACACATAATTATATTTTATGTCAAATTATAAGGATATACAAATACATAAATTTTTTCTATAAAACATTTCCACTAATCTGGGCTGAGTGTCAATAACAACAGCAGTAAAAATCCAGAAGCAGCTACAAAGCTTACTAACATGATAATACATATCACATTTTTCCTTCCATGTTCTTTTGGTTTTTTCAACCCCAGAAAACCATTCATGTGAGACAATATCTTATTTTTCAGACAGAAGATACTGTGAACATGAGCTAGACAAACAGCAACAGAGGATGGTCTTCTGAACATGTCTGACTTATGCTGATGAAAATTATGATAAAGCAGAGCACGGTTGTTCAACTGATTTGTACATAAGAGTGTATATACTTCCCTTATATATGCAAGAGGATATACTGTTCTCTGAACAGATGAGGTTCAGTTCTCTGAAGGATAAATGCCTTTAAAAAACATCAGTGATTCTCAATGTTTCCCCACTCACCTAGCCTTCATTAAGTAGCTAAGAAAGGTGATTATACAGTACGTTTTCACTGATTTAATAATGACATTCCTTTATCTTAGCCAAAGTTCCCAGTACTCTAGCATAACATGTCCTCTACAGTCTGAAGCACAATGAAATGTAAAAATCAAACTTACCATTTCCTTTACATTTCGTTCCCTCTCTTCAACTTCTGAATAATCTTGATAAAGCTGTTTTAAATTAGATAAGAAATGCGTGGCATTCCTAAGAGATGACTTTCTCTCCTTAAGTTCATCATATTTTGTTTGTAGTTGTTTCAGCTGTGGTTCTAACCTAGAATAAAAATTGGTATTTTTCCCCTAAATAAGTGACACAATAAAGTTCCACAGATTCTAGTGTATAAGACTGAGTAGTAAGTATACTAAAGGAAGTATTAAAGCCACGAGGGAGTTACACTAGATGATTTGTCTTTTGCCTATAAATTATGAATAGTAGGAGTTTCAAAAGCCCAAGGGACAAACAGCAGTGAACCCCACAGAAGGACGCATCTTATCTGTGCTGAATTTAAACCGTGCATATCTTGGGAACTACTGAATTAAATGATAAGCATGGTTACTTTTTATAGCTTGCAGGCATTGCTATTTAACAGCAAACTCGGGGCTGGGGATTTAGCGCAACATAAGCACCTGCCTTACAAGCACGCGATCCTGGGTTCGATCCCCGGTACCAATTTAAAAAAAAAAAAAAAAAACAGCAACAAACTGGGTAAAAGTTTGCTTATGAAAATTGCCCACTGTCCAAAGTCTAACAACATCAATGGAAAACTATCACAGGGCTTGGAATAAAAAATGTGTGACCGTGGCCAACTTTTTCACTCTCAGTGGCTTAGTTTCTTCACGTTTAAAATATAGATTTTATGGACCAATAAAAGGCTGCCAATGAGGAAAGGCTGCCAATGTTTATTTGCCAAATAAAGATATAAGCTATTTTCTAATATAATTTTATAAAAGAAAAGTGCTTTTAATAGCTCTTCAGTTGAACAAATGACAGGGCTGTGGTCGGGCGTGCAGGCCGAGAGGCCATCTGCTGCCCACCAATGCTGGCTCCCTCATCCCCCAGGGATGTACAGTGCCAACTGCTCTCCTGGGCCCTGGGGTTTTCACGTGCAGAGACAAACCAGGATATACCACACTATTTCTTACTATGCCTTTTCAAAATATACTTCTCTAATGTCTCAAACTGTATCTAGGAAAGAAGCAAAATTTTTAAAAACATATCAACATGGTCTCACGTGATGGCAAGTGTGAAAGCCATATTTTATCTCACAGCATTGAGAGATGACTAATGGACTCATAAAACACTTAGGAAAGAAAGGGCCTTGCCACCTGGAACGCTTTAAGTGTTACTGTCATTATAGTACCTGTAATTTTCTTATTTTGGGGTGGACCAATGAAAACTTTATGATGGAGCAGTTATCTGTCCATAGACAATCTAGAAACAAGTGGACTGAACAACCAATTCCTCCCTCTCTTAAATTCTATGGCAGTCTTTTCTCTAATTATGCACTGTCTTTCCTATTAATACCATGTTCTGTCTGAAGCTGTTTCTTGTTTGTGGTGCTGGCTACTGAACCCAGGATCTTGCGTGTGGTAGCTAGGCAGGCACTGCCAGTGAGCCACACCTCCTGCCCTCTGAAGCCATTTTAAAGCTCCAGAAGAGTAGAAAACAGCTAAGCCTGCTTTCCCCAGCTCACACAGCAGTCCTGGCCTCTGAACAGGGCCTAAAAAATGTGTAGGCCGCCAGGTTCAGGAGTGTCCCCATCTTCCTAATCGGCCCTCAGAGACCACCCAGGCCCGCAAAGTCATCCTCCTGCCCAACACTGGTGAATACAGATGCAGGAGTACAGATCCAGAATGTACATTTCAACAGCAATAATATAAAGAGCACTTGCTGTATGCTCATCACTGTAAACACTTTGTTTATTCACTCAATTCCCACCCACCCATCCCAAGTGTGTGAAGGGTATATATGGTACCCATATATAAAGGAGGAAATCAAGGCTTTAGGAAGTCACCTGTCTATCCATGCTTTCTCCACTACTAAGTGGCAGAGTCTGGATTCAAACACAGGCAGTCTAATTCTACAGTGTACACCACGCCTCTACTGAGGCTGCCTGAGGCCAGAGCTGATAAGCTGGGAGACAGACTGGTGCTGAATTTTCTCTGCTAAAAGGTATGGCAATCAGGCAGCATAACCTGGCTCCACTGAACATTTAAACCCAAAGATAATTTGCAGCTTTTAATATCACACAGCAGAAAAGATTACTTTCCTGGATGCCACACTGCACTGCCTTCAAGATAAGTTCTCAAACAGGATTTTGATATTATCTTACCGAAGCAGTTCATCCTGGACTTCAATCAAACGTTGCCTTCTCTTTTCCATGTCAGAAATCATCTAGGTGATACAATAATTTCCTTGTTAAGTTCATGAGAATATTTGAGCACTGCCATGTACACTGTGCTTGGTAGTAGAAGTGCAGAGAGAAACGAGACAGTGGAGGACCGCGAGCTGCTGTCTTCACATTGCTGAGGGTGTGCCCTTAGTGGAGCCTGGGACCCCAGCCCTCCCTGCCCTTTCCCTCTGTGGCTCAGCAGGGCAAGCAGTTTTGCTCTGTCAAACGCTTCTGCCACCACGTGCTGCCATGCCACAGGCCCAAAAGCAACAAGGTCAAAAAATCATGGACAGGAACTTTCCAAACTGACAGTCAAAATATATTTTTCTCTTACAAGTTTATTTCAGGTATTTTCTTTGGTGATAGAAAGCTGACTGAAACAGGTCCCCATTGCTAACTTATATTAATATTATCTAATCAAAAGATTAATTTAATAAAAGCCTGACTACAAAGATGTTATACAAACTCTAAAGGCTATAAAACCCAGAGTCAAGTCTCACAGATATTAGCACCGCATAACTATATGACTGTAATCACGTATGTATTTACCTTAGCATTCTTCCTTTTTAGGTTTTTAAACATCTGGACTTCTTTGAGCTACACAAACAAAAAAAAATACATATATTTTCCAAAATTAAATGTTAGTTTCACATATATCACATTTAGTTTTAAAGCAGCAGGTGCAATATATGTAGCTCTAATGCCTTTATTACTGTATGAACAGCAAATGCAAGCTTTTTTTGGACAACAGGGTGCCGCTTCAGGATTAATTTTAAAAGTGTAGATTAACAAAATTATTTCAGTGATCTTACCATTCTGATGAGTTCTTCTTTAATATTAAAATAAAACTTGTTGATGGCCTCTGTACAAACTTTAGATTCTATTTTTTGTCTGTAAAGGGGTAAACAAACAAAAACCTGAAGTAGGCATTGTAACAGACTTTGAAAGATGTGTTTATTTGCTTAGTACATAAACACACAGTTTGTCATACAGCAGTTTAAATATCTAAGGTGGCAGTGTTTAGTCTGCAGCCCTTTCTTAGGCTTCAATACTGAGAACGTGTCTCAAATTTTTTTTTTGTCAGTATGGGTCATTTTAATTCTGATGTTGGCAAAGTCTACAAGTGATACCAAGTGATGCGGACATGCTAAAGGCCAATCCTCGTCTTTCCCCACCACCTGAGCTGATAACAACTGGCAGGTCTGACCCCCTCCTTATCTGATAGCAACTGGGGGAATAACTGCATAACACACATGGACTAAAGGAGGAGAAAGCAGTCACAAGCCAGCTGTTCATTCTTCAGCACCATAAAGCTAACCAAAAGGAAATGGCCCTGGGTTCAACCCCAAGTTTAAAAAGAGTGAAAGGGCCAGAGAGAGCATATCCTGATCTTAGTGAGAAGGCTTCTAGTTTCTCATCACTAAGTAAGATACTAATTTTCTACACATTTTTTTTTAAATAAGTTAGAGAAGTTAACTCCTATTCCCAATTTTACATATTTTTTTAAATCATGAATGGGTACTGGATTTTGTTAAATATTTTTCCTGCAACTATTAATGGCACTTCTTTTTTTATTGACTTCTTTGAATTAGCCTTGAATACCTTGAATAAATTCCACTTATATGTCCAATTTTTTGTACATTGTTCAACTTAATCTACTAATATTTTTAAAGAAGTCCTGTATCCATTTTCATGAGAGATAATAGTCCATTATATCCCTCTGTTTTTAATTTTGTTATTAGGGTAATGCTGGCCTTCAAGCACAAGTTTTGAGATATTCCTTCTGTCTGTATCTTCTGAAATATTTCAGAGAACTGATATAATTTCTTTCCTAAATATGTGGTAGAAATGACCAGTAAACACATCTAGGTCTAATGATTTCTTTTTGGGGAGGTTATTATTTTTTAAAAGCAGATACAGTCTCATGCAAATAATTTTTTTTAGTTGTGGCAAATTGTCTTTCAAAGAACTAATTCCATTTCATTGCAGTTATCAAAGTCGTAGGCATAAAGATGTTTATAGTATTTTAGTATCCTTTTGCTATGCATGCAGTTTACTGATGTAAAATGTCTCTTTCATTTCTGATATTAGTAATTTGTGTTTTTTTCTTTCCTTTGGCTAGAGGTTTACTTTTATTAATTTTTTAAAACCAGCTTTTAATGCTGTTGATTTTTCTCTACTAAGTTCCTGTTTTCAATTTCACTGATGTCCACCATGCACGTGGGAATCGCAAGGGAAAAGCAAATGAGAACCACAACATAACTCTGTACCTATTAGGATGTCAATTATATATAAAAATCAGAAAATAAATGTTAGAATTTAGAAAAATTGAACATTCTTGTATATTGAAGGTAGAAACGTAAAGTGGTATAGTTCTGCAAAAAACAGTAGGCAGTTCCTCAAAAATGTTAACATGTTTCGACTGGCTTGAACCAATGATGGTATATTCATGACTGTCCCGTGGAGCAGTTTGTACTATTAGTGACACAGACAGATCAATCACTTTTATTGGTCTTTTTACTACTAAAATTAATAAAAAGCCACCTGATGGGCCAATTATGCCCAGCAGGGAGACAAATTATAGTTCCATTGTGCACATGTTAAATACAGAATTATATGGCCCAACAACTGCATTTCTGAGTATATAATAATAAGAATTGAAAGCCAAGACTCAGACTATCTGTACAGCAATGTCCATGGTAACATCCACAGGAGCCAAAAAGTGAAAATAGCTCAAGTGTTCATCAACGAGTGGAGAAAGCAATTGTGGTACACACACGGTAGAACGTTGCTCATCCTAAAGCAGGGAGTAATTCTGACACAGCTGTAACCCGGGCGAACCCTGAGGAGACTACGCTAAGTGAAATAAGCCAGTCTTGAAGGACAAACACTGCATGATTCCACTCATATGAGGTGGCTAGAGTGGCCAGGCTTATAAAGGCAGAAAGTACGACAGTGGTCTTTGGGGAGACGGGGAAACGGTAAATTGTTTTAATAGATACAGAGTTTCAGCTATGCAAAATGAGTAAGTTCTAGAGTTGTGTTGCACCAGAAGATAAAAAACTGAACATTTAAAAATGCTTCATGGTACACTTTGTTTTTACCACAATAATAGAATACTTCTGTATTTCATACCTGTTGGCATGGCTAAAATACAAAATGGTTTTCCAAATGTGACCGAATGTGATTTCACTGGTGACAGAAACACAGCACCCTGGATGACACCATTCTGCCCTAAAAAGTCTTCAGTGGAGACCATGGCACAGATCTCAGAGCACAGGGGTTAGACTAAGGACGAGCATTTAGGACGAGCAGTAGGCTGACCGAGGTTAGTGGGACACAGACGCCAGCACCCTCCGGCACATTCCATGGCCCTTTTCAGAGTTCCTCCCACCACTCCAATCCGGAGCTGCAGTGTGCCAGGCCTTACTGGCAAATCTCCACAGCCACCTGAGACCCTCGAGAATAACTTCTACTAAATAAATCCCAGACCATGATATTGATGGTGGGGCCTCAAACGTGGATGAGGTCCAATTCCTTCTTGAAGGCAAGTCCAGCCTTTCTAGATTTTCACAAAGCCCCTTGCTGTGGATGGCAGCCTTGTGTGTGGTGGACAGATTCCCCAGAGCGCTGAGAAGGACCAGACTCAGTCTTGCAGCAGAAGTGAAGAATATTCGTGGCTTAAATGCATAGCGGCTCAGAGGAGTTCTGCTTCTGTCCTCCGTTCCTGCTGTTCTTCTACCCTGTGGTCTCCCAGGCACCGTGTTATAGGTGCTGCCCTCCTGTTTCAAGCTCCGTGGCTCCAGAGCTGCCAGCTCCTTGCTCCTGACTCCAGGCCCCATGGCGTTCCTGTCTTATTCCCTTGCCAGCTGCCTGCCCCATGGACGCTCCCCTCAGGGAGGCCAGCAGTGCGCAAGGTGTGGCTGGCCGGTCCACATCCCTCAGCTCACTCTGCCAGGCCACCCTTCTGGTGACAACTTTTTGTTGTTCTGTACTTTAGGAATTTACTTGGGAGGGCAAGGGAGGAGAGGGGAAGGAAGGGAGAGGAAGAAAAGAAGAAGCCCAGGCTGTGATTATAAGGCCTGGAGAAAAACAAGTGGAGACTAATTTGGGGCAGCTGTTTCTGGGAGGAACCAATAATACTGCAGGAAAATGACTATTTGAAAAGGAAAATACAAGGAAGATCAGTCTATATGAAACATAGTTTACAACTGATGATCCAATAATTTGAAATTGGCCTAATAAATATATTTATCCTGGCATACTATGGAAATGTAAAACTATCTAAAACACAATGATAATGAAAACACCTCATATTAAACACTGGAGGATAAGCAACAGCAGTGCCTCAAAGGAAACTTATCAGATCCATGTATCACAACAACAGAAGACTTACTGATACTGTAGGAAGGTTTTCTCAAATGCAGACAAAATAATATCCAACTCCATGATGTCACTGGTTTTCCTTCCTTCTAGACACCAAATATGCTCACTATCAGAAATATCTAAAATATTAAGAAAGGTCAATTTAATATGCTGATCATTCATAATTTAGCTCTAAATTGACAGTTCTGGAAGCCTGAAACAAAAACACATTGCTTACAATAGCTACTGCTGAAAAACCCTCTGGGCACTGTATTGTAAACAACACTGAACTCTATCGAGTTAATGATGTGTGAAGTAAGTATTTCAGAAGAATACACTGACATTTATGGTTTATTTTAAAATACATTAAAGAACTAAAGTGTATTAACCACTTAAGGTCTAATTACTTCAATACAAGATGACCAAAAATTGTACACTTTTTCATTATTTTTTTTTCATTATTTTTTATAAGATAATATTATAGGAAATTAAAAAGTGACAATTTTATCAAATTTATTCAGTACAAGAATCAACTGGTTAAAGTGACACCTGCCCTGGGGACACTCAGTAAAGTCAGCACAGAAACAAACGGAACTCCCTGCGAAATCCTCCAGGTAAACTGTAAGTCGTTAATGGCCAGGAAGGGGTAAAGCAAGTGTGATAAAATGCTAAGTATAAAATCTAGCAGTAGGTATGCAAATATATACCGCAAAGTCCTTTCAGATTTACTGTGTATAGAAATTTTTCATGACAAAATGTTAGAAAACAATTTTGCTCCAAAGTCATATGTTACTTTTTAGAAGTGGCAATTGTATGAACTTATAATTTGCTACTTTAACAAACAATAAATCTTTTCTCCTGAAATCCTTGGAAAGTGTCGAAATGTAAAACACCATCGTGTACCTGAATCTTTGGCTTCACTTCGCGCTTTCTTCCTTTTTCCAGGAGACATTTTCCTTCTTTTCTGAATTTTCTACCGAAAAAATTTAAAGTATAGATTTTTAAGAAAACCTTTCTTTGTACTTAAAACATAAAAACTAACACACTATTATCAATCCAGGTTCTGTGGCTTATGCCAGTAATCCCAGGATTTAGGAGGCTGAGCAAGAGGACCGCCAGCTGGAGGCTGCCCAGACTATGACATGGTGACTGAACCACCACTCCCCGATCGAAAACAAAGACTAAAGGGAAGGAAGACAGTATTATCAGTCAGTCAATATTTAAGCTAAAATTCTCACTTAGTTCTAAATTAATGCTGGTCACATAAATAGGTACCAGATAAAACAGTGCAGAAAATAAAACAAAATGAAACTTCCTGTTGACTTTTAACAATATTGAAATGGAGGAAGTTGAATATTTTTTAATATTTAATAATTTTTTAATATTTAATATTTAATATTTTAATATTTAAGATAACAATGTATGGAATCAGCTCAAATTTCTGCTTGCAGCTTCATTAAGAACCACTTCTTATAGCTCACGCAAGAGGGAGCAAATGGCTCCCCTCCATCATTGCGTTTTTTTTATGCAGGCTGCCAAAAACATTGACAGATTAACAGAAAAACCATATTTAATTACCAGCACACACATCAGGGGCCACCCACAGCAGGCCCACAAAACATGAGACCTGAGCCAAGAAAGGAACTGGAATCTGGGCTTCAGAGAAGGGGAGGCCACAGCAAACCAGGTACTTTACAGAACTGTAGCTTGCCAGGCATGGCGGCACACACGTGCAATTGCAGCACTGGAAGGCTGAGGCAGAAGGACTCCCATAGTGAGCTCACGGCCAGTTTGAACTATGTAGTAAGACACTGCCCCCCAAAAAACAAAAACAAAAACAAAAACACCTTTTCCCCCTAAAACCCTGTACCTTTTCAGAACTACTTCTGTGTTTCTAATTTCTCAAAATAATCAGCTCAAAATATGTACTTTGGGGTGGTATATTATGGCTCTTGTAGTCATAGTTTTTTGAGGAACTGTCCTAAGTCTTGTCATAAATGGTCATGAAATAGGGGAAGAAGTACAACTTTATTCAGGCTTCAGACAATAGGTAATATATAACTGGGTTCCCTGATGAACGGTACACTCAGAAGGTGTCCATCACTGGACACCCGCCCCATCTGTCAGGCAGGAAGATCATGCTGGGTTAAGTGTCATAACTAGAGCCTGCACTCTTACACAGGGCCATCTGCTCCCACCAGGGCAAAACTGGCTCCTAGGGAAAGATACAACAAAATGTTAGGCCAAAAGGCCCACAAATAAAGTGATACATAGTACAACTGTGGCATTAGTTTAATTTTAAGTTTGTGGGTGACTTCTCTGAAACAATGCAGACCAGAAGACAGCAGAAAAAGATACTTAAAGAGCTGGAGAAAAAACTGTCAATTTGAAGTTCTATCCAGTGAAATATCCTTTAAAATTAGGGATGAAATAAAAACACTTTCAGATAAAATCTAAGAGAATCTAGCAACACTGGAAGATGTTCTGACGGGGAGAGGAGAAGGTATCAGATGGACACACACATCTACGGAAGGCAGTAAGAGAACTGGAAAAGAAAAAGGAGTACAACATGAAACACTTTTTTAATAATTTGACAAAACACAACTGTTTCAAACAAAAATCATAATACTGTAAAATCAGACTTACATGTACAAGGAAAGCAGGTGATTAAAAAATAGCATAGAAAAAGAACATAGTGGATGGAAAAACAGAATTTTGATATTGTTATGTAATTACATGTATGTAATTCCCAGACAGAAAGAAGGAAGCAGGGATACATGAAGCTGTAACACAGAAATTCTAAACAGGCATTGCTAATTCATATTTTTGCTATCTTGAGCCACTGGTGGTACAGGCATGACTGTCCATCAAGCAGCTAAATCCACCCAATAGGACCGTTCCATGCCACCCACTGGGACCGTCATGCATGACCAATGATGGTTCAGAGCCTCCCAGCAGTGAGACATATGAACTGTCGCCCTGTTGTGAACATGTTCACGATGTACATTTTTAACCCAAGAGTAACAGCTAAAGAGGCAGTGGCATAGCTAAGAAGCCATAGAGAAAACAGAACACTAAAAAATACTGAATCCAGAATTAGCAACAAAGGGACAAAAACAGTATAAGAACTGAGCCTGCTGGAAACTACTGTAGTTAAAGGTCCACACATGCATACATATATATCTATGGGGGGAATCTGAGACACGCACGGTCCAGGCTGGCCTTAAACTCACGGCACTCCTCCTGCCTGAGCCTCCAGAGTGCTGTGATTATGGGTGTGTGCCCCTACCTGGCTCTAAAGTTACATTTTTAAAAGTGGATCTTTATAAGAGGGATAATACTAGTACAAAAAACAGAAGAGACTTGCTATAAAACTAGCAAGATGGTAGACATAAGTTTATCTGTGTCAATAACTACATAAGAAGTACATGAGCCAAACAATGCAATAAAAAGACAGACACTGTCAAACTGAATAAGAACATGCTAACTATAAGAGCATGAATTGGGAAAAAAAAAAAGAGCATGAATTGGAAAGATGGGTGATAGTTGATTAAAAGGTTCATTTCAGTTAGACAGGAAGAATAAGGTTTTCAGATCTACTGCACAGCTTAGTAGAATAGAGTAAATAAGAAAGTCCCAAAAAAATACCTAGAAGGATAAATTTCAGATGTTTCACCACAAAAAGTTAATAAGACACATTAATTAACTTGATTCTGTCGTTCCATACTGTGCACATATATCAAGGCAACATTGTATCCCATAAATGCATCCACTATAATTTGTTAATTAAAAATAATACTTAAAATAATAAAGTTTTTGGGAAAAACACCTTAAAGAAGTTAGATGCAGTGGCAGACACTTGTAGCCCCAGCTACTGAAGAAGCTGAGGTGGTAGGAGCAGTTGGGCCCACAATTTTGTTTTTTGTCCTTTTTGAGACAGGGTCATACTATGTAGTCTAGGCTGGCATTCAAGTCACTATGTAGCCTAGGTTAGCCTCAAACTTGCAGTGATCCTCCTGCCTCAGCCTCCCAAATGCTGGGGATACAGATTTATGCTAGCACACCAGGTTGAGCCCACAAATTTAAGGTCAGCCTGAGCACGATAGCAAGACCCCATCTCAAAAGACAGACAAGAACCAACCTCGAAAAACAAAAAAAAAGATAAGACAAAACACGTCAAAGAAAATTCTTAAAGGTGTGATGTTAAAAAATACATAACTTATAGATCAAGAAGGCCACTAGCTACCACAACAAAACATAGTATCTGAGCTACCCTGTCTGTCAATGTAAAGTCACTCACAACTATACCCTGCAGCCCCAAGTTCAAGTGCACATCCGTGTTTGTCACAACAAACCCAACAAAGAGGCAGACAACATGTATATACTTCTATTTATGTTAAAAAAAAAAAAAGGGAAATAAAAATAAGCAAATACATTCCTCTGTGCAGAAGGAAATTCCAGAATATGAAAGAAATCAGTTATAAAGTTGCCTGTCTGTGTTTAGCGGGTAGTAGGTGGAAAGTGGAAGAGACTTTATCATAATTAAAATTTTTTTTTCAAACTTGAGAATTATTGGTCCAAAACATTAGAGTAACTAAATACAATGAATTATTAAGAACTTGAGGGGCTGGGGATTTAGCTCAGCAGCATAAGCACCTGCCTTGCAAGCAGGCGGTCATGAGTTCAATCCCCGGTACCGATAAAAATGAAAAAGACAAAAAAAAAAAAAACAAAAAACAAAAAAGAACTTGACCAAGGGGCTGGGGATTTAGCTCAGCGGCATGAACGCCTGCCTTGCAAGCATGCAATCCTGAGCTTAATCCCTGGTACCGATAGAAAACGAAAAAGACAAAAAAAAAAAAAAAAAAAAAAAAAAAACAAGAACTTGACAAAAAGACATTATATGTCAAGAACTGTTGATCAATTATGACCCAGAAATTTGGTCAGAGCAATGGTTTCTAAGGAAATGATCAAAAGTGTGTGCCAAGGTTTACCTATAACAAAATTAACCAAAGCACTTAAAATTGTTAAACAGCAATTGTTATCAGTAAGACATTAACTAAACTATAACACATGCATGAAGAATGTTATACATCCATTAAAAAGATACTGTAGAATACTTGGTGATCACATTTTTAGACGATCACATTTACTGTTGCAAAAGCCAAGAAAAAGGATTAAAGTGTACAGATCAAAAGAATAAGCCAGGTATTTTAGGGTTATGCACTTTCAGGTGAATTCACCTTCCTTTCCATATTGCCTAGATTTTCTCAACTGAACATTTGTATAATAAGAAAATTTATCTGTTAGAATTGAAAGGAAAAAAAGAAAGCAATTTATTTTCCTCCCAAACATTTTTCTATAAGCTTTTCTTTCTCTCCAAATAAAGGGCAGACACTCACCGGCTGACTTGGTGTTGCCCGTCCCCCTTTCCCATCAGAGGACCGGGCCCCGAGGGCTCCCGGCCTTGCAGGAGTGACGGGTCCAGCTGGGTTCTCTGAAGATGCCACAGCAGGAACGGCTTGGAGCTGCTGGGCATGGTTTTTTTCTGCTGATTTAACTTTTCTTCTTACGTCACCCTCATCACTACTTTCAGACTCTTCACTAAGGGGCTTCAATTTTCTTCTTGGCTGTGAAGGAAATAGCATTACTAGTTTAGAAAGGACAAATGCTTATGATTTTACTACAATGGTAGAAAACTGTAGAATTCCTATTTCTCATTTCTAACTTCAAAACTGAACACTGAACATGCCATCCATGGAACCACGGATGGCAACATAGTTAGTGGACAGGACACCAAACCTAGAGTTAAGAGTTCCAAGTAAATCTTCCCTAAATTCTGTCTGCCCTTACATATCACAAACTAAGCACATTGTATAAGCAACATAAAAACAGATAAACCACATAAGAGATTTGAGGTCTTTTTAGTAAAAACACCCCAGATAAAAAATATTTCACTCTTGTTATAAAAGCATTGCCTAAAACATACTTTCTCTATGAAAAATGTTGCAGTGGAACATTTTCTCCATTTGTATCCAATCTAAACAAGAGATGAAATATTTTACACTTTTCTCTATTTGCACCCTATCTAAATAAAATATGAACTAGCTTACAAATTAAGGTACAAGAGAATGTTTCTACATACCTTTTTTGCACTGTTTATTATAGAGTCATCTTCACTAGCTTCATTTTCAGAAGTGTGCAAACTGTGCCAAAGAACAAGCCATCAATATTTTATAAGAATCCCTTTGCATTCAATCTTCTATAGGTTGTTTGCCTAACATGAAAACAAGCTCAACATAATGAGAAGACACCCTCCGTGTTGTGAGCAGGCCAGTCACCTTCCTACATTGACACCTCCTGTGTCTTCCTACCTGCAGGCCACACTGGTTTGTCCTAGACAAGTAAACAACAGCAAGCCATTACTGCAGTACTGTGTGGTCCTGAGAAATGCATCTTTACCAGTCCCAGAAATGTGAGCCACTAAAAGCTAATCCAAGCCAGGTGTGGCAGCGAATGCCTACAATGTCAGCAGCACTCAAGAGGCTGAGGCAAGAGGATGCTTTGAGTTCAAGGCCAGCTGGAACTACACGGTGAGACTCTGTCTCAAAAACAAAACGCTAATCCATCAGGCTTCCTAGGCTCATCATTATGTGATATAGAAGGGAGTATTTCTTTCATCCTATGAAAGAACAAAATAACCTTAACTTCTGATGGAAGAAGAGAATTCATCTTCTAATTCAATTTGATAAATATATATTTAACATTAATCTCAAAACATGAATGTGGGGACTGTAATTATTTTAAAAATGAGAGAAAAGCCTCCCTTTCTTTAAATGCCTAGTATGTTCAAAGCCCAGCAGAAAGAGCAAAGATAACACCGAGTGACATGGCAAGTACCTCACAGAGAAGATGTGAATACATGGCTGGGGAATTAACAGAGGTACCATGGCGATGATACTTGGGATGACTTTTGACAATATTTTTCCAGGAAAAAGAAGTACAGGGAAAGGCATTTAAGGCAGAAAGAAATGGAAATATAAAAGCATGGTCATATAAAACAGCCCTGGCATGTTCAAAGAACAAAACACAGCATAGATAGAATGCAGAGTCCAAGAGAAGAAAATGCTAGGAAAAAAGTCGAAGGGTACAGGGGTCGCGTGGCTCAGACCCCCGTGTAGGGAGGCGACAGCTTGGGCTGCAGGGCCATCAGGACCTAATGCAGCAGCTGTGAGAGTCTCCAGGCAGTAGCAGCATAGGGTCTGGGCATTTCTGTCCCACACAGGACTCTTTTAGGAGGCAATCACCCTCCCGGAGCTGCCTGGTGGGTCACTCTGAACCTGCCTTCTGAGGCCACATCTGTCCCAGGGCAGCCCGTCCACAGTCTGTCACCTCTCAGCCATGTCACACTGCACAGGTGAAGAATGCAAATGCTCACTGAGTGTCTGCTACATGCTGGACCGTGTTCTAGGAATCTGCTGTGTGGTAGTAAACACAGCAAAGTCCTCGTCTGTCTTTAGCCACTTCGACTGGAGATGGATAGATAATGAATCAATTGAAACATAACTATAACGTATGTGTTGAGAAAAAGAAGTAGAGAATATATACTGATAAATAAGAGTGTTTTTTCTGGGAGTTATCAGAGTAGATTGCTGTGATAAGGTGACATCTGAAATTCAGAAGGAAGCATGGCACCAAACCATGCAGACACAGTAGGGAGAGCAACCTAAGCACAGCAAATGGCACATGCAAAGGCCCTGAGGTAGTGCAGAGGAAGGAATTAGAAGATAAGCAAAGAGGCCAAACCAAGTAGGGTTGTTTCATCAACCCATGAATGCAAAAATAATATGATACAAGGATACTCTCAAGCACAAAGTGTTCATCTTTATTTTCTAGTAGTTAATATTTGGCAAAGAGATAATGACTAATAATTTATAAATTTGAATTAAAAAATAATAAAAGCTTAATGTAAGAAATTCTTAGCTTTCATACAATTAACCACTACAGGAAAGATAAAATAGGAAACCTCATTTATAACCGCCAAGTATCAAGAAAAAAGGTAAATTACCTTGGAATAAACCTAAGAAATGTATAAATTTACATGAACAAAACAACAACACTAAAGGACACAAAAGAGATATTTTTCTTGGGAACTATGAATCGAACTCAGGATCTCCCCATTGTCAGACAGGTGCTATGCTACTGAGCTAAATCTATGGCCTCTGACAAATAGATATTTCTGCATCATCATACAAATATCCTTTTCCTGTAGTCTGATTTATAAATTTAATTCAACCTAATAAAGATAGATAATGGGATGTTTATTATATCAATGATTATAACATTGTAAGTAAAGTCAATTAATGAAAAGTTAAGTTTTTATGTCCCATTTCTCTTATGGGAAAATATAAAATGTTGGTTGAAAAGATTTTTTTTGTTTTGTTTTGTTTTTTTGAGACAGGGTCTCACTGTGTATCCCAGCCTATCCTGGAATGTGCAGCAATCCTCCTGCCTCTGCCTCCTGAGTGCTGGAATTACAGGCATGTACCACCATGCCTGGCTCACAAGATTTTAAAAAATACTTTAGTTTTAATAGCTTCTATTTTAAAGAGGTGTTCTAAAATTCCATTAAGCATGAATAAACAGTTGATAGAAATATAATCATACTTTTTCTTTCTTTTTTTTCCTTGAGGAGTTGAAGGAATAGGCAACCCACAGTGTTTGGAAAATTCTTCTTCATCAGCATACAGAGCAGTGCTATGTAACGGAGGGTCTGCAAAAGATACAGCATGTACAACTTTTAAAAGTCTGATTGTTTGGCAGTATATTTATTGCTTTACAACAGAATTCAAAGCAATCTTTGAGTAAATGGCTAATAAAAACAAATCAGTTACACAAGCCTCTTTCAAAACGTTTTGATCTCACAATGTAATAATAAAAAATTTAAACCACATCACCAATAAATGCATGAATATTTAAGGATTATAAACATATATTATGGGGGCTGGGGATTTAGCTCAGCAGCATAAGCGCCTGCCTTGCAAGCAGGCAGTCGTGAGTTCGGTCCCTGGTACCGATAAAAAGGAAAAAGACAAAAAAAAAATAATAGTAATACATAAACATATATTATTATACTTATATAACTTATATTCCTACACTTATATATTACCAGGAAATCTCATTTTCATGAGATTTAAAAACATATAGATGTAAACAAATAGGAAGCCTCACATTTTCTTCCCATGTTCCTATGGAGTAACATACGCGGTTCGGGGAAGACCATCGCTTCACTGATCAATCCCACAAGTTTCCAATGGTTGGCCCATCCCCATCTCACAAAGTGCCAAGCACACAGTGGGCACTCAGTATTTATAAATGAAAGTCCCTTTGTGAGGAAAGATTCTCGTTTTTCTTATTGACTTTGGTTTGCTACAGCCTTTAGGTAGCATAAAAAATTAATGAGGCAGAAGATAAGAGGAAAAATCCAAATGGCCTTAGTGGAAAGACATAGAAAAGAAATGCTAAGGAAAGGGTGCTTGTACTTAGTCCGAAAGGATCAGTAATGGCACACAGTGCATAGGCAGGGCTCACGGGAGGGTTCTGGCAGGAGTAAAGAGCTGAGGGGGGCAGGGGGCAGAGCAGGTGGCTGGTAAGGGCCAACTAGCTTTATCTTGAAGCACTTCAAATTTTAGCAAGATGATGCACATTGAATTTTTTTCAGGATAAACAGCTAATTAAAAAATACACATATCAACCTCACAGTTTTAAAGTTAGCAATATATTCTGTGCTATCCATAACTAAGCAAAAATTTATTTTCTCTTTAGCTAAAACTTATAGACTAATGCTGACTTACCATATGTAACCACTCATAAAGCTAGATCTTTCAACTTAATAATAAAATGAGAGAATAATGCAATTTTATAATGGACAGTTTAAATACAGAGTTGAAAAAGCAGGGACTAAAAAACATATCTGTACACCCATGTATACATATATGTTAACGGCATTATCCACAACTGTTAAAAGGTAGAAGCAATTCAATGTCCATTGGCAGATGAATGGATAAACACAGTGAGGTGTGTGTTCGTGTGTACATGAAATAGTAGGCTTTGAAAAGCAATTCGGACACAAGGTACAACATAAATGAACCTTGAAGAGAGTATATTATATGAAATAAATCAGCTGCAAAAAGAAAAATATTGTATAACTCATCTTGTACATTCTTGTACATCTTGTACTCATCAAGTACCTAGAGTAAACTTATACACAGAAAGGGAATCCAATTATAAGTACTCCCCAGAACATTATATTTATATGCAGACAACGAATTTTTATATTTGAATAAACTCCTTTTTTTATTGTATCTAGCTTAAATATTGTTGTTTTCAAGTCACTTTAGGGTAAAGATTTAAAATACTAACCAAAATTTTCATAAGGGTCTTCATCTTTCTCATTTTCACTGAGCCTGCTTGAATTCACAGAATTATCAGTAAAGTCAAATATATCAGGAGGCTTGTGCTTTTGATTAGCTTTCTAAAAGTAAACAAAATTAGGGTCAGTGAATTGGCACAAACAAACAACATCACAAAGCCAATTTACTTAGCAAGGGTAACTTTAGTAACTTGCTGTTACTGCTGTCTAGAGAAGCAATTTTGCATGTTTCAGAGAAACAGACCCCTTTACTCATCTGAGGCAGGGGTTGGCAAACCTATACAGGATCAGAGAAAAAATATTTTAGGTTTGGCAGGCCATCAGGTTTCTGTTGTGACCACTTAGCCATTTGTGTGAAAGCAGATAGTCTCGATGCAGCAAACATGAACGTGGCTGTGTTCCAGTAAAACTTTACTCATGGACACTGAAATTTAAGTTCAAATCAGTTTTACATGCCATGAGATATTTTTATTTTATTTCAACTATTTAAAAATATGAAAAATCATTCTTAGTTTGTAGGGCTGGACAAAAACAAATGACAGGCTACACCTGGCCCAGGCTATCGGTTGCCTAAATCCTCAATCTGAAGAAGGCACTCTCCCTAGAAATAGGTCATATACCCAGAAGTTCACCAACAATTTCAAAGTTACAAAGCGCAGGAGGTCTTGCGTACAGAGTGCTAAGGTTTATAACTGAATGTAGTCCTAAGTCCTTGAGGTTAGCCACCCATCTAATGAAAACCAAGAGAAAAAAACATATAAATATGAAAACTACAAAAAACCTTTCACAGAAAATGTGCAAGGATACTAACAGATAAGAAATCAAGAAAATCCTGCAAGGTATAAAAAAAAAGATGGATTAAAATTATAAGCAAAACAAAAGAAGTCTACCACTCTCAGATACTCATTGATAAAAAAAATCACTCACGGAGCACATGCCTAAGCCAGCTGATGCTCTGAGGCAAAGGGGCCGCCATCATCTGTGCTGAGGGCTGCCTTGCAGAAAGAAGAGGCAGGAAAGTTGGAGAAATCCTTGCCACACACTCTTTCCTTCAACTAAGGAACGGGAAGAGCACTGGGCTCTAAGTGTGACAGGAGCAGAGGGGCAGAGGAAAGGACAAGACAGCCAAGAGAAACAAGCCAGCTGGGGGAGGGGGCGGGGCAAGCTGAAGTGTCCCAGAGGTATCCAGGGTTTCATGGAGTGCAGAAGAGTCATCTTCTGAAGCTGGAGTTACAGAAGCAAGGCAGAGAAAGTCCACCGGGGACAGCGAAAGTCTGGGCCAGAAAAGGAAGGGTGGGTCTCCACTGCCCTTCACCCGACAAGCAGCTCTCAGTGTCAGTGTGGAATGCCAATGGTGACAGGACGAGCCGCTGAAAAATAATCTGAAATTAGCTATAAAGAGTGTTTAAAGAAAGCAATGTAGCATAAAAATAGCTAACATGCCAGATTCAATCCCCAGCATCACCACCACCAAAAAAAGAAAAAAATTAACATACATTTACTTAAAGACTCTCCTAAAGAAAAACAAAACTAGAATATGGACTAAGCAGAGTACTATGAAATCATAAACAATTTTTAAACTACGACATAGATAAATCACTATAAGTAAAAAATGGCAAAATTTAAAAAGTTACACAATTTTTATATGATGTCAGTTATCTAAATGAAAATAAAACAAGCCTAGGGTCAAAAAAGAAGGTCTAAAACATTAACAAAGGTCATTTTCTCCATTATACTGGAAAAAGTGAGAAGAAAAAGGATATATTTCCACACTACAATAAAATATTGAGCTTACCAAGAAGTCTCCAAAACTCTGAGATTCCTACAAAACGTTATTTTGCTGTGTCAACAGTAAGAAAATTACATGAAAATATAAAAAGATAACTTACGGCTTTCATAGAATGCGTTCCTCCTAAAGTATTCTTTGAGTTTCCTGCACTATTAAACAAAAAAATGCACATATTCACAAAAACCAACCAAACAAAAAACACAAGGGGAGGCTTAGGAAATATTTAAATAATTAGGGAAAACACCATTACGGTGACTCTTTCTAAGTATTATTCTTTCTAAATTGCACTCCTTGGTAACTGTACTAATAGTGTGCATACAACTGTATTTAGGTTATGGCAAAACCATTTTATAAAGCAGAACTTGTATGTCACAAAATTTATTTTTTATAGATCAAATCCTATCACCAATGTATAAAGTAACATAGCTGTCACCTTCTCCTGTCTCAGGGACACACAGAACTAATCCTGCTGTTGGTCCCTGAGGTCCCAATCAACCAGCAGTGACTGACTGTGACAAACTGAGCATGGGAAAGTAGACCACTATTTATAGGCACCTAATTCCACGCCCATCTTGTGCCTGCTTAGTGTCCCTACATTTTCTCATTTAAGTCTAACAGCCCTGGAAGGTAGAAGCAAACGCTTTACTGCACACATACAGAACTTGCCCAAAGCACCACACAGCCAAGCAAAGAAACACACACTAAAATCCAAGGTACTTCAAATCCAGTGCCTGCCCGCCTTCTTTCTACCATTTAAAAACTCCCTCCAGTGAGCATTAGTATAAAAAAGATAAAGCTGCATATCTTCAACATATTTAAAATAAACAAATGTAATAATAACTAGAATAAAAACTGGAAGTAACAGTGCCAAGAAAAATATTAATAGTAATAATGGTAGTAAGCAGTAGGCAGGTACTGAGTATCCTTCAAATACCAGACATTGTACAGAAGTACTAGGGATACTCCGATAGAATACAATACATAAGCTTCGACTTTAAAATATGCTGTGTAGATTACACCAGTATTTCTCAGATACTTGGGTGGATATCAGAATCAATTTAATGTGTCTGAACTAATATTCTGTTGAGTAACTCATCTGATATTATTGCAAACTTACAGAAAAATTGTTTAAAAAAAAGTATAAGGGGTCTCTGTGTGCTTTTAACCCAGATCCACCCATGTTTTTTCTCATGTGCTGTGTGTATGGTAAACTGCAGACACTGCATCTCCCATCTTGTACGTTTTTTAGCTTCTTTCCTAGGAGGAAATTATCTTGCATAGTCACAGTACAGTTTCTAAAATCTAGAAATTTAACACTAACATAATTATCTAACTTAGAGTCCATCCTCAAATTTTATCAATTGCCCTATAATATCTTTTAATATTTTGGTCCCAGCATTTTTTAAAAAGGGAAATAAGAGAGCATAAATATAAGATTGCACAGGATATAGTATTTTCAGAAACTTTTTATTGTATGAGTAAACCCATGTGTACTGTGATGTAAATTATTTCTGTGAACCACAGTAAAGAAAAAAAAAGGGAAACTGTTTAGAGCAGTGATTCTCAAACTTGAACTCTCAAACTGGAATGAGAATCATTTCTTGGGCTTGCCTGTTAAAAGAAATTGCTTATAGCCAATCCATTTAACTCACCCCCAATCAAATTCAGCAAGTCTTGGGATGAGATCTGAGGTTTTGCATTTCTCACAAGTTTCATGCTCAAAACCAAAGGAGGTAGAATAAATATTTGCTTTGTGATAATTTTACAGATTATGATTATGAGGCTCAAGGTAAGAAATGCTAGTTGATGGTAACACGGTAAAATAACAAAAATAGGACTAGAAATTAGATGGTATCAACTTCTTAATTAAACTCTTTCCAGCTGTCTGTGCTCAAAACTATCAACCATCTTTCCTGCTTTAGTTTGGAGTCCAGGTGAGGAATCTTCTGTAATAGGCATACGTAAAATCTTGTTGTATGTCCACTGGTGCATTTTAGGGGAAAAGGATGTAAACATTTCATAAGTCTCAAACCCAAAAATGTAATAATTTAAATTTAAATTTAAAAAGTTCAAAACAAGACAATAAAAAACACTGGCCTATCAGATAAAGTTTAACTCTCTTCATCTAACCTGCAAGGCTGTTAACAGTCTTTTCCCATCCTCTTACCCATTGGCCACAGATCTAGTCTTGTGTGCTCACCAAGCCCCGCTGTGTCCGGCTATAGCTTTCCACTCTCACCTTACATCTACAAACACTGCCTTATCCAGGTAGTATTCCCCCGGGCCACAAGAAACTCATCTCTTCGGGGCCCGATGGCCTGCAGCACACCTCACCTTCCCAAGCAGGTCGTGGCCCGGCTCTGGGTGTGCTTCAGACACGCCAGGCGGGCACAGGTCAACTGATACAGACTTTCAAAGCGCAGGCTGCAAACTATTTTTAAATGCATGGTTCTTTTTCATAGCAGTAAGATTCCTGGCCTATCCTGGAATGCCCGTTAAGAAGACCCTAGGAAATGAAGGTCAGCCCCATTGCACCCCTAGAAAGAGATCAGGTTCAGTTTTCTGTCAGTGGTTTCTAGTACCAAAAACAAAACAAAACAACCAACCAACCGGGGTCTTCAAAGTGAGAGCACTGACAACCAGCCAATGTAAACTTCTCCAGGATGTAATGCCTGGCAATCAGAAGGCACTTACTCAGAATCTGCAGAATGCTTTGTTTCAAGCTATTCTGAGACTTATACACAGCGAACACTAATACTAGCAGATGTCCTCGCCTATGCTGTCATCCTCAGGCTAGTCCTACAGCACTGGGTCTCTTCCTAGCCCCATTACAGCAATTCTGGGCGGCACAGACTGCGGAGGTGAAGGAAAAGATAAAGTTCATCCTGACCCGGCGTTTTGCGAGTGGGTAGCACTTACCCTGCACAGCCTAGGGGCCGCACCCACCTCCGCAGAGCCATCGCGCGGCTGTCCGCGCCGTCTCGGCCACAAAACTCCCGCCAAGCCCCGCGCTGCTCCAAGCAGCCAATCAGAACCCACTACTCCGGCGCTCTACGCAACCCCCTTCCCACCGCCTCTGGCTCCTTCCGGGTCCGAAGTGTGAGAGAAAACCCGGATAGCAATATCGAGTACAGCGGAGCGGGAGTCCATGCCTCGCAACCAGTCGCTGACAGCGCTTTCCCGCCTGCCTGAAGTCCGCCCCAGGTTTTCAGAGCGCCAGGCCGGGAGGGCCGAGGAAGAACTCTTGAGCTGTAGCTCATGGATTGAGGCAGTTGTGGCGCGGCTGTCCAGCGCTGTAGTATGCGAAATCTAGTGGATTCCGGCTTTTGTCTCTGGTTGTTTCGCCTTTTCAGTTCTAGTATATGTGCTGCAGAAGCGAGCACTCTCTCTGGTTCTTTTAAATTGTGTGAGCTAGGCATGTTATTTTACCACTGTTCCAATATTTTCGTTTGTAAACGAGGAAGATCTGTTCTGGGTTTTTTTTTTTTTTTCCTCTTTAAGGGAGGCTGAGGCAGGATAAGGGTCACAAGTTCAAGTCCAGCCTGAGTGACTGAGAACTGTCTTAAAAAACAAAACAACCCCAAAAAGTATTCCAGTCCAAAAGAATTAAATTGAACATTATTTAAACCCTACAAGAAAATTAACTCAAAATAGATCAAAGACATGAATGCAAGAGCTGAAGTTATAAAACTCAAAGAGAAAACAGAACAAAAGCTTCATGACGCTGGACTGGCAATGATTTCTTGATATGAAATCAAACGCATAATTTGGGATGATGAAGTTCTGGCCATAAGCAGCAGTAGATGACAAGATGAATGCCCTTAATGCCATAGAAACATACTTGACAATGGTTAAAATGCTAAATTTTATGTGTATCTTACCACAGTTAAAAATAAAAAATAAAATATGTTTCATGCATACAGAAGAATTAGCATATATTTAAAGATTAAAACACATAAAACCACCACAAATTCGGGACATAATCATTATATATGTCTTGGGCACCCCTCTGAATGGTCCTTCTATCTCCTAGATGTAACTACTGCTCTGATTTTATGTTTCTATGCTTTTCTACCTTGCTATCTCCCTAAATAATTATGAGATATTTCTAAAAGTTTGGTAGATACCCTGAAAGTGCTTCTCTTTACTCAAAGCTATGATTTTTATAAATATCCACATTGTAGTACTGTTTGCATGTATCTAATTTATTCATTTTCACTGGGTGCTGGGATGCATTAAGTATTATATATCACATTTTGTTTTATTCTTTTGCATGGATATATGGATTATTTTTGGTCTTTCGCTATTACTAGCAACGCAGCAGTAAACATGCTTGCACGTATCTTATAGGGCACATGTCTACCATTTGCTCTTGGGATAGTCAGTGATATTATTGCTGTATAGGATATAAGTATTTTCAACTTTGCATACCAGTGCCAAATTTTGCATTTTGTTTTATAGACTGTTCATTTTATATCCCACTAGAAGTTCCCATGGTTCCACATACTATCAATATGTAGTATTTTTTAAGACTTTTACATTTTTACCTATTTAGGAAGTTGAAATGGTATTCTATTGTTTCTAATTTGCATTTGCTTTGCATAGACCAGTTTCTCATTCGTAGGTCATTCCTGTTTCCTCTTCAATAAAATGTGGGTTCACTTTACTGAGAAATCATTTGTGCAACCACCATAAGAATAAATCACCTTTGAGGTACTGTAAGAAGTTCCCTAATAGTTCAGCAAGGTTTCTGGAGCCAATGAAAGTTGTCACCCTAGAGGAGTGGGTAGGTATCAGCTCCATTTTCTGGGAAACTGGGTTGAGTCAAACCTTTTGTGTCTGCTACTCTGAAAAAAGAAATAACTCTACTGTTAAGACAGGAGGGAATTCAGCACTTTGGGGGAAAAGTATTAAAAACTCAACCCTAACAAGTTGAAATAATAGAAGGAATTTATGAGCACCTGTTACTCAAACATCCAGAGATAGGATGAGTGTCAAGGTCAGTTGGAGAAGCCAGCAGGGCTCACAATCCATTTTTTTAAAAACCTTACTTATGTATCATTTTTTCTCTCAGGCAGATTCTCTGGTTATCATCCTCTATTGGGTTTACTGAGCATTTAGTATGATTGGGCATTGTTATGAGCATTTAGTATTTAGTAACTCATTTAATACTCTCATTAATCCTGTTTGGCATGTACTATGATTCCACTTTCCATATGAGGGCCATGTGGTGGTCCTGCCCTACATCTCAGGACTTAGGACCAGAGCTCACACCAAGCAACAATCCAAGACTCATCTCTAAATTCTAACACTCAGCAAGAGAATCTAGTTATTGATAGGTCTGTCAAGGGGAGGAAGAGGGGAAGGACTGGCCGGCGGTGGCTGGAAAGATAAGAAGTATAAAATATAAGTAAACTTTATTTCGGAAATTCGGGGAGAGACACCCCCGACCCCCCGGGGCGTGGCATCTCCACCCCGGGGCCGGTGATCTCTCTCTGGAACACGTGGAGTGAGGCACATAAGTAGCCTCGGTCTGGGGTGGACCCTAAGGGGCATTAGGGATGTACAGGTAGCCCATTGGTCTTAGTTTGGCGCCAGGGGTAGGTTATTAAGGGTGGGGGTATAGGGTTACAGGTAAATCTCTAGGGGTGGGGGAGGCAGGAGCTCCCTAATTCCGGCTGAGGCTTTTCCTGGCTAAAGTGTCCGGTCTGGGCCAGCAACCCTTTCAGTTATGTGCCAGCATTCCCAGAGTGCATTGGTCAGCATTGTCCAGAGAAACAGAGCCAGTATATGTGGCAAGGAGGAGACAGAAGTTGATTTGTTTTAAGGAACTGTCTCACAATTGAGAAGTCTAGCAAAATCCATAGGCAAACCAACAAGCTAGAATACAGCTAAAAATTGATATTGCAGCTTTGAGTGCAAGCCCCTAGAGCAATAGTCTAGAAAGTGAGATGCATATTCTACCCTGCAAGCTTGAGATCACCCCTTCGTAGGAAACCTCAGACACTTCTATTAAGACTTTGAACTGGGGGGCTGGGGAGTTAGCTCAGTGGCATAAGCGCCTGCCTTGCAAGCAGGCAGTCGTGAGTTCGATCCTTGGTACCAATAAAAAGGAAAAAGACAAAAAAAAAAAAAAAAAAAAAAAAAAAAGACTTTGAACTGATTGCATGAACCACACCACATAATGAGGGTAATCATTTAACTCAAAGTCTGCTGTTAACGGTTTGTGTCTAGATGTCCCCCCAAAGCCTCATGTGGTCAGAGTTTTTCCACGGTGGCTCAATCTAGAATGTGTGATTGATTCATAGTGCAATGCTGGAGTTAAGGGTGCTGGCATTAAGGGTAGGTAACTGCTGGATCAGTTCACTGATTTGATGGGCACCATCTAAATCTTGGTAGACTGGATACATGATAAGGCACAGGAGGAGGCTTGGCTGTCTGCTTCCTCTTGTTGCTTTTGCTATCTCCCACCACCATGAATGGTTGCCCCTCTGCCAAGAGCCACCGTGCTTTGGAGCCAACCAACTCTGAATTGAAACCTCTGCAAACTGTGAGCTAAATAAACCTTTCCCCCAGTAAGTACATCATGACCACACAAAGTCCATCTAATACCTGAGTGTTAGGTATTTTATCTCAGCAACAAGAAAAGTAACTAAGACATCTACTGATTTAAATATTAGTTACATCTATAAAATACCTTCAATGTAATATCTAGGCTGGTATTTGACTAAATAGTAGGACATTGTAGCCTAGCCACATCAACACATAACGTTACCCTGCTCCTAACTTGTCTCTGTGGCCGGGGAAATGAATATACTCAACCTTTTAGAACAACATAGATTCCTGCTGGAATGGCAATAGGGTGTCAGGGAAGGGAAGGGCTGAAAATTGGGAAAGTGGGAAATACATGCCTCGGAGAAAGACAAAGAATCTACATTACAGAATCTTGCTCGTAGTTGTAGCTAATCACAGGGAGACCAGAATTCCAAGCCAGATATTCTAACAGCCAAACTCACCTTTGTTGCAGCCCATCATGCAGCTCCTCAGTTATACTAGCAAAGTATCATGGGAATCCCCAAGTTGGTGAAGGGATTTCACAGGGAAGGAATATTCCAGGATCTCCAAGGCGATAACATCATGGCGAAGCAAGTCAATGCTGGAACGTAAGACTCCCAGCTTCCTCTGGCAGAGGTCCTGTGAGACTCATCCCCAAGCATTGGGTCTAGAATAATAATGTCAAGGTTTCTGTTGGTTGTATGTATTGTTGAGGATGGAGACAGATCACCTTCATGAGCTTCAGAGAAAGTAAAGCCAGGTGTAAACTTAGTTTGGGGAGGGGAAAGGACAACAAAATGACTCATCAGAAGGCTTGAATGTTACTGGGGGCTGGAAGCTGGGCAACAGCCAGAAGGGGCCCAAAGGGAGAAGACATGGCCTAGCAGACAGGAGAAGCTGAGCCCTCGGAGGATCCAGTCAATGAGAATCTTTCCACAAGTAGAATGGCAGTTACTTTATTGGGAAGTCATAACCAGCATTTCCTATGTTGGCATCTATGCTGTTTGGTGCTCTTTCCACCAATGTTAATGGAAGTGGAATATCATTTCCACCTTTTGCAAATACTTGTGGGACTCACCAGCCTTGTGTGTGTGTGGGGGGGGGGTGGGACGTTGAAGGAGGAAGCATACTGTTCAGGAGGCGAGGATGCATTGTATAGAGAGGGGGCTGAAGACAGCAGGTGTCCTGGAGCAAGGTGAGCCCCTGCTGAGGAACCTCAGACATACCTGAGCAAAGGTCACTGTGGGACGCTGGAGGACACCTGGGTAGTTTTTATGTTTAGGAAATGAGAGGAAACTCCTATGGCTATTATAACGCAAACAATAAAAAATAATGACCTACAAAACTTCTTGGATACTTGGGATAAATTGAGTGGGTAGGCATGGACACTTCCCTAAAGAAAAGCCTGTGGAGTTGGTTGATGTATTAGTTGCATAGTTTG